GACCCAGAGGCACCGTAGGGCGAGAGGGACGCCGAGGTCCGCGGGAGCACGGCCGGGCGCACCAGTCACTCAGCTCGGCGCGCGGACGGCGGCCCGTCAGCCCGCAAGGACCGAGGCCGTGCCCAGCCGGCCGCGAGCGCGAGCTCCTCAGGACGGAGCCGACCCCGGTGGCCTTCCCTGAAGTCGGGATACGAAGCCCGGCCGCGTGAGTCCCCGCAGCAGCCACCCGTTTCCTCCCCAGCCCTGCCTTGTAAAGCCCTGCTCCTCGCGGGCCCTGCGCCCCGTCCGCAGCGTCCTGCCGCGGCCCGGGCTGCCCGGGCGAACTCGTGGCTCTTCCGTCAGCGGGCGGGGCGGCCTTCCCGGCCCCTGCCCTGACCCTTACGCTTTCTAGGTTTCGTAGCGAGTGTCCCCTGGACTTGTTAGGGCCTCCTCCCCTAGGTGAGTCCACGGCAGCAGAGACGTTTTGTGCTTCTGTTCATTGTTGTAACCCTAGTGCCAGGGACGGTGCTGGGCACAGCGGGTGCTCAGGAACCCTCGGTGCACGAATGACTAGGAGCAGGGGTAGCGGCCCTTCTGTCGGCCTCTGTCGCCGAGCCCCGCCTCGTGCAGTTTCCACCCTCCCCAGCAGTCCTCAGCCGCCGTCTCCCCGTGTGGAGGCTGTGGGCTGAGGCCGCCTGCCTGAGGTCACAGCTGGTAAATGGCACTGGGCAGTCTGGCAAGGGTACATACTTGAACTGCCACAAGCAAAAGACCAAGGCGAATCCATTTCCTCCAATAACCACCCAATGAGTTGTTTCCTAGAGCCCTCAGCTCCAAAACAGACTAGAAAAGATGTTTTTGGAATTTTAGTAAGTCCAAGAATTTTAAATATTTGTGGCGGGTTTTTTAGCAACAGCAAGTGCTTAAGTTAGGATGCCAAGTGAAAATAGGACATTAAAATTATATGAAACCACTAGTAAGTAAAGGAAGCATTGTGTTAACAGGAGGGAGGCGTGTATAGCTCTAACAGGTCTTTGGAGAGGACTGGATGAAGATGGTAAGCAGCCTTGGTAATTAAGGTACTTAAATTGGGGTGGCTGGATGACAAAGCAGGAATTCCTGACCTGCGTAGAGAAGAGCTGACTGTTCTGGGGTCTGATAGGTTTGCAGTACTGCACACACTAAACCCTCCTCTTAGAAATTCATGGTGCATAATGAGTCAGACAGTAGTGGACCAAGTACTGGTTCCTAATATTAAAGAAATGATGACCATATTGGAGGAAACAAAACTTGAATAGAGAAACATGCCCCTGGAGGGCTTGATAACAAACCATCCAAGGCAGCCTGTGGGGAGTGGGTCCACTCTCAAGGTGCTGGCATTGCCTGCTTCTGAGTCTGTGAAACTAACAGCCAGATGGTGCCTGCTTCTGAGTCTGTGAAACTAACAGCCAGATGGTGAACTGGGGTAAATTCACTCCCCTGGTAGCTGTCAGGGTCATCAGCCAGCTTGCCTTCCCCTGTGGAACTCTGACACATGGGGACTCCTTCCTCTCAGATTGCAACACTATTGCCCAGTCACCAGTTATATTAACTTTTTTCTTTTTTTTAAAGTATATTTTTATTGATTTCAGGGAGAGGGAGGGAGAGAGAGACAAACATAAATGAGAATCATTTATTGGCTGCCTCCTGCACACCCCGTGCTGGGGATCGATCCTGCAACCCGGGCATGTACCCTGACACAGAATCCAACCACGATCTCCTAAATCATAGGTCGATGCTCAATCACTGAGCCACACCCGCGAGGCACATTAACTTTTTTCTAATGTAGTTGGCACTCTCGCTTGTTTTAGTGTACATCTGTTAGACACTGCATACAGTCAATGCAGTGACAATGTTGAGCGCAAGTTGATGGAGAGACATTAGAACCAGACTCTAATGTCTGAGAGGATGCAAGGGTCTGGAAGGAAATAGAAAACATACACTCAACCATGAAATTGTGAAGAGATTGTTTAATAAAGAGGGCATTTAAAGAGGAGTGGCCAAGTTTAAAGGAACCATGACTAGGCCTGAAAGGCCTGCTGGAGATGAGGAATGGGCTGCTGCAGAAGAGGTGTCCTTCAGCCGGCCACAGCCATTGTCAACCCCACAAAGCAGGGAACAGTGAAGGAGTACCAGGGGCTCTTTCTCCTCTCACCCTCCCACTTCCTGCCAGAGCTGAAGAAAGGCAGAAGAGCTGGGTGCTGTAGGCTGTGGAGGTCAGCTGTCTAGAGGGAAGAGAATGGGTTAGGGGACAAAGTAACTAACAGGAGAGAAATTAGTCCAAACCATGAGCCTCTGGATTAGGCCTTGGTAGTTGGGGTGTGAAGAAGGGACAGGTTCAGGGCTATGCTACTTTTCTGTGCTCTCCTGCCCCATAGACCTTTCTTCACTCCCCCCCTCCACCCCACTGCCTCCCGCTCCACTTGTCTAAGTCTTGTCCTTCTTTCAAGGCTCAACTCACATCCTGCCGCCTTCGCTAGATCTTTCCTGGTGGCCCCTGTCATTGATTGTGCCCTCACCTTACTCCCTGTGATAGTACCTATCACGTCTGTTTACACCATGTCGTTTAGCACCACGCCTTTTTCTCTTCATTGTTCCAGGTGTTATTAGGTTTATGCTCTGGTCCTCAAACTAAATATAAAACTCCAGAAACGAATGATGGGCGAAGCTCTGCATGTAGTAGCTGCTCGATAAACCTTTACCCAAGAGGAGGAAGAATTCCATGAGGATACTGTTAACCTGGATATGGTGTTTGATTTCACAGAGTAATTCTCTTTGAGAAGGTAAGCCATGCTTTCCTCTGTAGCAGTGGGACTGAGCTTTTTTCTTGTCAGGGGTGTAACCCTTCTTTTTTCCTGCTAAATTAGAAGTACTGTAGGGTAATCACGAAACTTCAAATCATATTGAAGCACCTGAATTAGAAAGTAAAAGTCCTTTCTTCTTTCTACCCACGTTTTTGTCTTTAGTTTTCAGAGGTTTGACTATGATATGTCTTGATACAAATTTCTTTGGGTTCATCCTGCTTGGGATATGCCTGGCTTCTTGAATTCGTTTATGCCTTTTGACACATTTGAAAAGTTTTCAGCCATTATTTCTTCCAGTACATTTTCAGCTCTGCCCTCTTTCTCCTCTCCTGATATTTGGATGACCTGAATGTTGTTTGGTCTTGTGTTATAGTCCCTTACGTCCCTAAAACCCTGTTTGAATGTCTCACGCAGACACAAAACACCATAAAAAGACAATGTATTGCCTGGCCGGTGTGGTTCAGGGGTTGAGCATCGGCCTAGGATCCAGGAGATCGAGTTTTGATTCCCAGTCAGGGTACCTGCCAAAGTTGCTGGCTCCACCCCTCGCAGGGGGCATGCAGGAGGCAGCCGATCAATGACTCTCATCACTGATGTTTCTATCCCTCTCTCCCTCTCCCTTCCTCTCTTTGAAATCGATAAAGACATTTTAAAAAAAAAAGATGATGTATTAATTTTTTTAAAAAGGGGGGAACTCTGTAAAAATTTTAAACTTCTGTATGGCAACTCTCTGGAAGGCAACTTGGTAATTTCTACCAAAATTTTAAATGTACCTGTTGTTGCAACTAGCCATTTCTACAGACTTATCCTTGAATTTATAGTACTCACCAAACTAAATATATATCAGCTCATCCAACTGTATATATAAAAAGAACCTCTATTATAGAATTATTCATAATTCCAAAAATGTGGAAACAACCCAAATGCCCAGGGTAAAGAATGCAATAAACTATGAGATATCTATGTGATTCAGTGTGACAACCACTAGAGAGAGTGAGATGGAGCACCATGTACTGACAGTGACTAGATTTCTGCAGTATAAGTTGGGGGAAGTAGGGTAGGTAGGGGGCGATGTATGTATCATCCCCTTTGGATACATTTAATTATGTTTATATAGTTCACTCTACATATATTTACACATTATACAAGCATATATTTCCCATGTATGTTTATGTATAATGCTTAAAATTTTTCTGATTAAAAAACCACCAAAAACTCTTAGCCTTGGATCAGGGACTTAGGTAGGTAGAGGAAGAGACTACCAGCAGGAAACTATATCTTAATTTAAATTTTTTTGTCTACTATTTGAATTTTCTAACCTTGTACTTTTTTAATGTTAACAGGCATAATTAGCAGCCTTTATTTTCCCTTTTCATATTCTTACGTTTAAAACGAATACTCTGATATTAAGAAAAAGTTAACCATCCATATAATTAGCTCTTATTTACTCTGTTCATTCCAAGTTTCCAAGGTAACCTGTCTTCCCTGGCTATGTCATTGATGTGGCTTTTGGCTACATAATTAGATTACTTTTGTGAAATTGCTTATTGTGGTAGCTCAGGACACCAGATCAACTATCTCAATACGTAGGAATTGGTATCTGGTTATTATTGGAGCTTTATTGTTCTCACTGGATTGTCCCCTATTTTAGGTTCTTAGCATATTACATTTATTACACACACATTACTCCACATTGCAAAGTAAATAGTGGGGAGAGATACTGTGGTTAAATCTCACATTTTCTGAAGAAATCAAATACATTTTTAAGAAGTACCCTTAATCTATTGAGTTCTCCCAAGATTGTATGTGTTGTCTTATTCTTACCTCCTTAGAAACTTATAGGTATCCAGGAATGACTGCTATTGAACAGGCTGAGGCCCAGCTCTCGGAGTTAGACCTGCTGGCCAGTATGTTCCCTGGTGAGGGCGAGCTTATAGTGAATGACCAGCTGGCTGTAGCAGAACTGAAAGACTGCATTGAAAAGAAGTCAATGGAGGGGCGATCGTCAAAAGTTTACTTCACTGTCAACGTGCACCTGGACATATCTGCGGGTGCAGCGGTAATGCCACTTAGCTTTGGGAGAGCTGAAGCACGCTGAAGCTTCAGAGACACTCAGGGCACTTTTCTTCTCTTTGATCAGGTGATGTTTTCTCTGGCCTGTGTTCTTCCCTTTGAATACCCTGTGGTCCTGCCTGAAATTACTGTTAGGTATGTTAACGGAAACTGGCTAACTTTCGAGGTCAAAATTAATGAGAGAATGAAAGCAATTCTTTATTTTTTTAATCTTCCTTGAGGATATTTTTTTCCATTGCTTTTCAGAGAGAGTGGAAGGGGGAGTGGGAGGGGGGGAGAGAGAGAGACATCGATGTGAGAGAGACACATCGATTGGTTGCCTCCGGGACGCCCCCCAACCGGGCTGGGGATCGAGCCTGCAACTGAGGTATGAAGATCCTTGGCTAGAATTGAATCCAGGACCCTTTAGTCTGGGGGCNGACGCCCCCCAACCAGGCTGGGGATCGAGCCTGCAACTGAGGTATGAAGATCCTTGGCTAGAATTGAATCCAGGACCCTTTAGTCTGGGGGCCGACACTCTAACCACTGATCCAGACCTGCCAGGGCTAAAAGCAGTTGAGTTTGTTTTCTGTTCCAAGAAAATTGATTGAATTTTTTTACTCCTTATCTTTTCTCCCAGATCAGTATTATTAAGTAGGTCCCAGCAGACTCAGCTGAACACAGATCTGACCGCATACCTGCAGGAGAATTGTCTCGGAGATGTCTGTGTATTGAATGCCACCGACTGGGTTAGAGAACACGCCTATGGCTATATCAGCAGGGACACCACCCCTCCCTCCGCTCCAGGAAGCACAGTGCATCCGGTCCAGCTTGTTCTGACGAGACTCTGGATCTACAGCCATCACATCTATAACAAATGCAAAAGAAAGGATATTCTACAGTGGGCGAAGGAGCTTTCCCTGTCTGGGTTCAGCATGCCCGGGAAGCCGGGTGTTGTCTGTGTGGAAGGCCCCCACGGAGCCTGTGAAGAATTCTGGTCAAGGTGCGCTCTCACAAAGTCTGTATGCTGTGCCCATAATTACAGTGCTAAACTAGATCCGAGAGATATAAAATCAGTATCTCCCTGGGTTGGATCTTAAAGGAATTCAGGCTCAAGTCAGTGGATCAAGTAGAACTTGCACGTGGTCAGCATCACTTCCTTCCCGGACACTGTAGTGGGAGGTTCTGTAAATAGATGTTGGCTCAGGGCCCTTCATTCCCATGGACCTGATTCTCCTCTCTTCGTAGGTCGTGTGTACCTGTGAAACAAGGGGCTCTAACTTAACTTCTCTATTGATATAAATGAGCTTCTGAGAAGTCCCTTTTGGGTGTTTGAGATTCAGCAATTTCTACATCAGTGACAATGGCAATAAATGAGTTTGGGGATAGGGTTATGACCAGAGTCACATTTGATTAAAATAAATCCCTGAGGTAAAAGTGGATTTCTCCACTTCTGGGAAAATAGTATTTTCAGTATTTTAGAATACATAGTGCAGTTTCAAATTTTTTACTTTGAAATTTTCTTTTCAGACTCAAAAAATTGAACTGGAAGAGGATTCTGATTCGCCACCGAGAAGACATTCCTTTGGATGGTATAAGTGATGAAATGGAAAGACAGAGAAAATTTTCAGTTTTTGAAGAAAAAGTGTTCAGTGTTAATGGAGCCAGAGGAAACCACATGGACTTTGGTCAGTTGTATCAGTTTTTAAATGCCAAAGGATGTGGGGATGTTTTCCAGATGTTCTTCGGTGTGGAAGGACAGTAACTAAGCAGGGTAGTAGTTGAAAGGTTTTTGTCACTGTTTGACATTTGTTTTCTTACCCACTCTTTCTTGAACGATTAATTTTACTTCAGTCCCATTCTAGAATGTTGGGGATGAAAAAGAGAAAAGTAGTATAGCTTAAGTGCATCTGTTAAAAATATGTCCTGATTGAAAACAGAAGTGTTTTAAATTATATTAAAATTATTGACAGAAATGTCTTGGCATAGCTGCCCATTTTGAAAGAGAAATTAATTTGACTTGAGTTAGATAAAGTTGGTGGTCTAACTTGCCACCCATTCCCAAACCCCTGCCCTTTACCTGCCTCCATGAACTCTCCCAGCCTCTCTCGTGGTTCAGGTGGCCTTGGCATACATCTTTGTCTATGGGATGCCTGGGAAAACTTTTGCTTTCCCAATTAACCTGATTGATACAGTGAGGGCACCACTTTAGCCTCTTTCTCCCACAACACCAAGGCCAATGGCTGGAGCTTTGTAGTTCCTTCAACAGGAAGGGCCATGAGAACCACTGAGACGCCACTGCATGTGGTTGAGCTGCTGATCCAGCACCAGCCCCTGCCTAGCTCTAGACAGCTTTTTATGAAATAAAAACAGTTGTATTTATGTTACCAGGCCACTTAGTAGCCGTTGAAAGCTATTTTGCCGAATAGATTTTTTCAAAGTTTTAGTTTTGCATCTACCCCAACCATTTGATACACAAATAGGTGAAGTTTTTCTTAAATGGAGTTTGCAGCTTACATATACTTTTGTATACTTAGTGCTCTATCCCTGGTTTCACCTCACAGAGGCTGAGACCTGAGCAGAGCCCCACTGAAGCGCGATCTGGCCAGCTGAAGCCTTCATGCCCAGTAAGGGAAACAAACCTCACCACTTATTCAAGGAGTAATGACATTAATGTGGGAAGTTGGTTAAAAGGGATTTTAAAAGCCAAAAGAGGTAACAGAGGTCATTCTCCAACAAAGGGAAAATAGACACATGCCCAATAAATTTGGGGTGCTATAGGGAAGGTCCTTGCCTATCAGTCACAGCAGAGATGGTTGGCCAGCATGGGCATGGCCACTGCAAGCATGGGAACATTTGGAAATACATAATTCCCGAAAAAAGGAGTTTGCACTCTTGGGGCTCTTGATGCTCCTTGCCCTTGGCTCTTGGTTTGTGGGGCTCTCTTATTTTGTTCCTGCTCATGTTTCCTCTTTAGCAATGTGGCTCTGCAGAGCCCACATGCAGTGGACTAATTGGCCTGCATCTAGCCTGAGATTGGGTGGTTGGAACCGGCTTCAGCATGGAAAAGAAACTCTGGACACTGGCTCTGATTTTAGCTGTACTGTAGCCCCAACTACATTTCTGTGACTGGACTAAGGGAGATAGGACTTTGGAAACCCATGGGTGTAATTCCATGAAAATAAAGCTTTCTGTGATATCTCATTCCCCGGTGGGGGCCTCCAGAAATGCTTATTCTAGCAGTACTGCAAGAACCCCACTTCCATAAGCAGCCGGGGGAGACAAGCCCCTTTCCTATCCTGCAGCACCTATGGTAAGGGAAGGAAGGGGGGAGGGAAAGAGGGTGTAGTCAGAGTAGTTTGGAGGGGCCCTGATGGCTGGGACTCTGTTCAAGCCCTTGAAGAGAAGATGGTGCCTGGCTGTTAATCCTCAGTGATGGGATCAGGCCTGGTGTTGACATCTGAGGACAGGGCACACAGCTAGGACCCAGACCACTTGGGAGGTGGGTTCTTCCTGGCTGCCACTGGCTCCCTGAGGTGCAGTGAGGCTGGTCCTATTGTTTAAAGGGCGGGAGACTGAAATTCACTGCTGCCTAATCCGGTTGCAGCTCCCCTGGCAAAGGCTGCTGCCCAGCGGGGCTCCCCCTGCCGCATCCTGGTCTTTCGGCCTCCCAGCGCCTGCCCAGGAGCTCAGTATCATACCATTGAGTACAAAAGGGTGACTGGACACGAGAGGCAACGGGTGCTTGTTTCTCTAGTGATTGTAAGAAGCAAAATCAAAATGAGATCCGTACGCTTCAAATAATAGACTCCCACATTACCCCTCTCTAAAACTTCAAGTTACCGTCACAGTACGAAAAGGGGAATTTAGAGGGAATACTGCCCAGAGCACTTCTCAGATTTTAACAAGGCCTAATACTCTGGTTTAACATGCAGAATCTGAGTTATTAGTCGCGAGTGGGCGTGCCAGCCTGTGTTTCTAACAAATGCCCAGATGATGCGGATGATTGCATTTCGAAAGGTCGCACACCTCCCCATCGCCCCGCAGTCACCGCAGCCACCTTATTCTACCTCAACCCTTGTGCGAAAACGCTTTTCTGCCGCACCAGCCAACCTCCCCTAGGCTGAGACGGAATCAATCTCGCTTCCGGCAACCGAGGAAGGGGAGGTTCTGCGCCTTGGTCCCAGGCTTGGCTTCCTATTGGACAGGGGTGACGTCACTTAGGGAGGCGTGGCTCTCGTTGTGACGTAACGCCAGCGGGCTGTCAAGCGCATCGCCGGAGGCGGGAGCAGAAGTGGAGCTGTCGGAAGACCGGAGTGGGTGGCGGAAGGGGAGGGCCGGGGAAGTTGTTCCCAAAGGACCACTTCCGGGGGCAGGGCCGGAAGTTGTGGCCGGGCCCTGTCAACCCCGGGGTAGCGGGCTGAGTGCGGCGGAGACCGCGACCATGGGCGGGAAGAACAAGCAGAGGACCAAGGGGAACCTGAGGGTGAGCGCGAGGGGGCCGGCCCGGGCCGGGCGGCGAGCGTGCGTGTGGAGTGTGACCGCCCGTGAGCGTCCCCGCCGGCGGGGCTGTGCAGGTGGCGG